TTCATGCATTTTATTTACTACGGCTGCAACAAACTGAAACACATTACATTCCAATAAACCATTTTTGGTTCAAACTTAATCGAAAAAATATGCCAGGCCAGGCTGTGAATGATCACGTGATGACGTTAAAAATTAGTAAATAAACTGCTCGAAAGAAGCGATTCGCAGAAATGAGTCGGCCTCCTAGGACTAATAAAATATTAAGCGGCAGGCAGGAATAAAAGGCAGTGAGTGACTCTTTCATGGATGTATTCGTGAAAATAAATTGGATATGTTTAGAGAGTAGACAAATGTAAACTGCAAAGACAAACCACAACCCCTTTTGTATCAATTCCGCACTTACCGCCAATCATCGTCTATCTTAGTTCACTCGACCAATCAGTGGTCAGCCGGACGACAACACAGCGCATTTTCCTTCAACCACTAGTATGGGATGTTGACGTGACGCAACAACTATCAGCTGGTTTTGTTTTGCTTCATTCCGCTAGAAGTCGTAAATGAACAAAAACTTGCGTTTTAATTAATTGATGTGAGGCAGAAGAATAACTGAAGCGTTGGAGTATATTTCTCTTCCACTTTATTCGGACCTTACAGTTTTTCTTCAGTAGGTCTCCGCTTTGGCACTATCTTTCCAAGAGGTCCAACCGATCCCAGGCCTCCGATCCAGGGCGGAGGGAGGGAAGGAGGTCGTTGGGAATCGGGATCGGGATGGAGACCGAGGAGGGAGCTGACGGTCCTGGCGGGCCGGGGCCGGGGCCGGGGCCGTGCTGCGTCTCCTTCAACCAGGACTCCACGTAAGCATCATCTGCCGAATCGGATATTTCTATGATGCTTAAAAAGCGGTTTACCTTACAAGAGGGAATGTCACCTCTGCTTAAAGGATTGACCGCTATTTATTGTCTGTTTTGATTATTACACATCCATAAAAGCCAGTCACTATGTTATAACGGTGTTGTTGCAATGTATAATAATTATGATAAGTTAGATGAGCTTAGTGTTGTTTCTCAGGACTGTTTTTCAATGGTTGTACAATGTTTTTTGAGCAGTATAGTGGTTTAAATGAGATTGCACAAACAATAAAAAACAACAAAATCCACTAATATTACTTATAGATTAGATATGATTATGAATATTATAGCCTGCATGGTTTTATAGAGGAGAAACTGAACGTTGCTCCCCTCTTCACGTTTCCTCAAAGCAGAATTTGCAGTATTGTGAGATTGTATTGATCAGTCCACAGTCTCCTGACAAGATGACCCTCTCTTGTCGTCTTTTCTAGTGGTTGATCACATTGGTTTCTTGTCTGAAAAGTCAAGCATAGCAAATCAAACACAACACATGATACTGAGAGTAGTCAGGTGATCTGATGTATTGTCTCTTCGAGATTATAGTCAACTATCTCTCTTGGGGCAAAACACATTTGTATTAGAAAAATCAGAAATTAGTTCTTTTGTATATGTTGTACTAGTCACAGTGGTAATAATTACCAACACATGTCAGACGCAGTCCTGCTGTAAACACAAGGTTTTGTTGTGGGTTTCAGCAGTACCTATGTTTTCCAATAAAAGTAGAAAAGGACATGCTAAGCACAGGATCTGACGTGAACAGCTTTTTTTAAAGGAATGAAAGGCCTGCAAAACAGATGTTTTAACCCCCTCCCCACCCCCCTAAAAAAGATTCCAGTAAATGTAACAGACATCAACTCTTCTATTTATATGTAAGCCAAATGATTACAATTTGCACAAATGTTTCTATCTTGAGTCATTACCTGTGTTGTATTAGGATTTTAAAATGACTTAGCTTGCTGTCACTTTTGAAAAAACTTTTGCTGATAATTTACTCACCCCCATTTCATCCAAGATGTCCATGTCATTCTTTCTTCAGTTGAAAAGAAATTTAGTTTTTGATGAAAACATTCCAGGATTTTTCTCCATATAATGGATCAAGTGATTCAAGGTCCAAAAGACAGTTTCAGTGCAAACTGTTCAAAGGGGTTTAAATGATTCCAGATGATGAATAAGGGTCTTAGCAAGTGAAACGATCACTCATTTAAAAAAAAAAAAAGTTTAAATTTTCTAAGCTTAAATGCTTGCCTTGGTCTGTTCTGTGATGCGCGTTTGTGACTCTCCTTTTCGAACTCGTTCATCAAAATGAACAAATCTTTTTCCGAGTCAATTCGTTCATTTCGTTCGTTGAATCAACCAAATGACACAAAAAAAAGATTTGTTCATTTTGATGAACGAGTTCGAACAGGAGAGTCACGAATATGCATCACAGAACAGCAGAGCAAGGCGAGCATTTGAGCTTATAAAACTTAAACTTTGTTTTTTTTTTTTAAATGAGCGATCGCTTCGCTTGATAAGACCCTTATGCATCGTCTTGAATCGTTTAAAGCCCTTTCAACAGTTTGCAATTTGCACTGAAACTCTCTTTTGGACCTTGAAGCATTTGGTTCCAAGTGAAGTGCATTATATGGAGAAATCCTGGAATCATTTCATCAAAAACCTTAATTTCTTTTCGACTGAAGAAAGAAAGATGTGGACATCTTGGATGACATGGGGGTGAGTAAATTATCAGCAAAAGTTTTTTTTAAAAGTGAACAACTCTTTTAAAAAAGTGGTAGATTCTGTGTTGGCCATTGCATCTGTGTTTTTCCGTCATTATAATTAAAGAAATCTAATTATATTTATATATTATATTTTACAGTTTTATGCTGTTTATACACATAATAAATTGCATGTACACAGTTTAATTCATAAGTGAAAATAACTATCCAAATAATGGATGTGTTGATTTAACAGATTTGATACAGCATAATGTCTTCTTGCTTTTTCCAGGTCTTTGGCTGTGGGCACCAAAACTGGATACAAACTATTCTCTGTGACCTCTGTGGACAAACTGGACTGCATTCATGAGAGTAGTAAGATCATCTACGATTCTTTTTTGTATAAACTTGATATAAATGGCAAGTATGGCTGTCTGCAAAAAATACTATAGGCAATAGGAGGAACCATCATGTGCAACACAATGAAGTTATCATAAGGTGTAGTCACTTTCTAACGAAACACTTAACAAATAAATTGAAAATGCCATCTCATTTCCTTTGTATTTTGTTGAGAAAGATAAGAGAAGATATTTCACTTTCAAAATATATTTTGGAGAATGTTTGTCTCTGTGAATGTTGTGATAAACTCACCCTACAGGGTGTAAAGTTGTCCTTGTCTGTTTTGATTTATGTTACATGGTGACAATGCCTTATGTGTTTGAGATTGTATCTGCAGCCCACAACAAAAATGGCTAAAGCTAAAGACAGAGAAACAGCCTGTTTTGCTGATGTGTGTAAATTAAAAGGTAAACTTGGAAAATCATATGGCACTTATCTACAATAATGTAATGGTAAAAAAAAAGAAATGAAAATAATTACTTGAGCCTCATATCACTGACAACCTGTATATTTTTATATTTCTTTGGAACAAAATAAAATGGGTGAAGAAAAAACACACATTTACACTGATTATTAAGTGTACACAGTGACTGTGTTTCAATTTTATATTTAAGCTGATTTAATGAGAAGCATTTCATTTTGGATGTTATTTCCCCTTAAAAAGATGTCTACATGTGGCTTTTTTTAATTTATGTCGCTGCTAATGCGTCCTGTTCTCTTCTCCCCTTCAGCAGAAACTCCAGAGGTGTATATCGTGGAAAGGCTTTTCTCCAGCAGCCTGGTTGTGGTGGTGAGTCAGTCCATGCCACGTCGCATGAATGTCTACCACTTCAAAAAGGGCACAGAGATTTGCAACTACAGTTACTCGAACAACATTCTTGCAGTGCGTCTCAACAGACAGGTAAATACAACACTGCTGTGCTGGAGCGAGGCACCTCCTGCCACTTATCAATTATAAAGCTTCTGGACAAGATGATCGCTTTACTGTGCTCTTTCGTCGTTGAAACTTGAATATGTGGTTTGGTTTGTCAGTAAATATGTATTTTGTATGTGTGTGTGTGTGTGTTTCGTGGCAGAGACTGGTTGTCTGTCTGGAGGAATCCATTTATATCCACAATATAAAAGACATGAAACTCCTGAAAACCCTTCTCAACACACCATCCAACCCATCGGGTAAGGGAATTGACAAACAAATCAAAAACAGTTCACCTAGAATAATAATTTTTAACTGTCTGTGTAAATCTGTATAAATATTACAAATATTAACCCACTCATGTGTTTCTGTAGGTCTCTGTGCTCTCTCCATCAACCATTCCAACTCTTTCCTGGCATATCCAGGCAGTGACACCATCGGAGAAATTATTGTCTATGATGCCAACAATC